CACATATTATGAATGCATAAATAATCATTGTAATCAACGTTGGATAAGGGTTTAAGCGAATACTCAAAGTCTACCATAACATTATTGAAATGATAAAATGACTTGTAGAACAAATATTTTTTAATTAAGAAATTCTGCCATATTTGTAAAAATACTGCGAATAAAAAGAAAAAATAATTCAAAGCGTGTATCTAACCTTGCTGCAATCGCTTACAATGAATGACCTTTTCTAGCAACATAATCAGAAATATTTTGGCGTCAACATTAACGCTGATTGTTCATCTTACCGCTAAGACATAACAAAATATTGGGGCCGTCTTAGCTCCCAAACATAATTACCCACCTATGTAATGTATGCCGATGATGCAACTATATTTATTTCTATTGATGAGTCAAATGATTTTGATTATGAAAATGAAATAAATAAAATATTGATAACAGTTATTGATTGGCTGCAGTCAATAAGCTTAAAAGTATACTTGTCAAAAACCAAACGTGTACAATTTAGAAATTACAATAGTATACATGCCAAACAAAAAAGATATGGCGGTCAAAGAAGTAAAGAACATACATTTTCTAGGAATCGAAATAGATCATCTAAGCTGGAAGGCACATATGGAAAAAATAAATAAAAATGTTATCCAGTGCATGTTACGCATTTTCCATCCTGGCAGAGACTACAAATATGAGTGTTACTAGTAATGCCTATTTTGGAAGCGTTTATCCACTCCTCACTTACGGTGTCATATACTGGGGAAACTCAACAGATATACAATCCACATTCGTTCTCCAGAAAAAAAGTGTTAGAGCAATATATAACATGCATAGTACCGAATAGTTAAGAGATATTTTTATAACGAATGGTTTCCTAACACTGTCTGGAATTTTTATCTTGGAATTATGCTTATTTGTAAAAATTAATATGCAGTATTTTAATTTAAAATCTGATTCAAAGAAAAACTAATTAGCAAACAATATAAATATGATAAAAAGTTTGTAAAATTACAGCCTATATACGTTCCTACTGCTGGGCACAGGCCTTCTCTCATTGCTGAGAGGGTTTTAGGGCAAGTAAATCTCCGCCGCGCTGCCCCTGAACTTCTCATGTCTTCGAAATATTTTTTTTTATTTCTCAAACATGCAGGTTTCCTCACGATGTTTTCCTTTACCGCCGAGCACGTGGAAATAATCAACACTTAAAATTTCAATTATCAATTTCATTGGTGCCGGCGGGGATCGAACCCGATTTGCTCGCGTACTGTGAAATTTATAGCGAACGTTAACCATCTGAGCTATCACGGCTCATTACTACCTCTAGCTACCGCGGTGCCTTATACTATGTGAATTAGTTGATTAGATGATATAATTAGTGAATTAGTGAACTGATATCTATCTAGCGCTCTCCGAATCCACACGGTGCGTCGAGTTGACTCGATAACTTGAGTGAAAGCGGACTCGGGTAAAATTTATTTTCACTCGATAACCAAGTTACACAAATTCACTCGTGTTGGCGAACTTCACATGTCACTTAGACAGTTACCACTAGCTTATAAACAATTAAATGGAAATATGTTCAAAACAAAATTAAATAAACTATTAATTGAAAATGTTTTTTACAATCTCAATGAGTTTTTTGTTAAAGTTAATGTTAGTAAGCAGTTGATTTTAAATTTATTTTATTTCTTGTTGCATATCTGACATATCAGACAGTTGAATCTAAAACTATATGTTTTTGTATTAAGATCATATTGTTCACAGTTATGCAATAAATTTATCATAAATCATAAATCATAAATCTTTATTTGCAAGAATCACGGTATAAAAAGATGTTACAATTTATATAGTGCAGTCGTGTTTCGCTAATAATAGCATGCAAATTATAATTTTAAAATGTTTATACAATATTAATAATTATTTAAATCTAAAAAATCTTTTAAGTCGTAAATGCATTCAATTTTTAACCAATCATACAAATGTTTCTTATATAGTCTTTCGCTTAATAATTTAAATTCTTTAGGTATTTTATTATATATTTTTACACACATATTAAGGCAGCTTTTGTTATATTTAACGAGCCTAGGAATAACATCTAGGACAAGTTTGTCTGGGTCACGTCGGTTTCGAGTGTATATATCACTTGCTTTAACAAATAATGACTTATTTTTAAAAACGAACAAGCCAGTTTCATAAATGTATAGTGACGGGAGGGGTAATATACCAAGTCTTTTTAATAGCGGTCTACAGGATTCCCTTGGTGATATTCCGCATATTGCACGAATACATTTTTTTTGGGCAACGAATGCTCTATTTCGGTCAGTACCATTACCCCATATAATAAGTCCATAGCGTAAAATAGACTCTACGTATGCGTGGTAAGTTGCAATTGCTGTTTTAATATTTGTAATGTTTTTGACTTGTTTAAGGACATATACAAACTTATTAATTCTACTGCATACGTTATCAATTTGTTCTTTCCAGTTTATATTTTCATCTAACGTTA